AAATCGTTTTGTCTGTCAAAATAATGTAATGTTTCAATCTTTCATTTTCCGATGTAAAATCCACGAGCAAATATCCATAAGGATTCTTTCCAGCATTGGCAAAGGCTTTCTTGAACTTACCCGTGCTTGTCGGGTACATCAGTCGGGCCAATGTCATCATTATGGATTATTAAACAACACTAAATAATGACAATTCCTTCGTTGAGTCGGATTTTTGTTCACAAATAAGTTCTCCAGACATTTTAATAACACATCTAAAGACCATTTTTATCATAAGAGAAATCTTACAAAAAATCGCCTTTTAACCAAAAAGTGCAAAACCTGATGTGACTTTACGATAGGTTTTCCCCTATCTGGGTAAGTGTAAACTATTTTCTTTTAAGAGACAACTGTATCTTATATCAAAACAGAACAAAAACAAAAAATGGAAGTACAAAGAAACAAGCAAACAGTATGTTATAGACAACACAAATTAAGTTATAAGTATTTGTCAACATATATATATACAGTAAAATCAAGTAATCAAAATATACAGTAAGCTTATTACGAACTCATTGGGACATTTAAAATCTGTTCCTTATATCCGGAGTTCCTTGTAAGCATATAGCGAATTAGTTCCTTGTATCAGGAGTTTTTATAGCGAACAGATTTACATATAACGAACTGATTGTTTACCATTGTCCGCCATTTTGAAGAGCATTTGATTAAGAAATATTAGTCATATACCTCTATTTTAGACACAATACCCGAGAGCGTACTTTTTGGAATTTAAATAATTGCTATTCCAGTTTAAGATTTACTCCCTATGTCAGTTTCTCATAAAATATAATATTTTGTTTCTAAACTCTTTTCGTTTTCTTTCCATGATTGAGAATAAACAAGATTTTGAACATCTTCTATATTATAATTTAAGGGTGACTTTTACTTATGGAAGATAAAGATTTCTTTTCATTTAAATCAAGCGTACATTGCAGATTGCAAGCATGCGTGATTATGTTGAAAACCGATTATAAATTATTCTAATTATTTTAGTCGAGCATAACTATTGACGAAAAGAAATAAATAACCGTTTTATCTTGGTGAAAAGAGCTCATGCTAAAAATATCCTAAATAGAAAGCTATACAAATTCATTTTAATAGATGTATTGAAGTTCATACAACGATAAACGGTACGGTACATTCGGCCGAGTTTTAATCCATGCCAATGAAAACGAAAGTCTATTTACGGATAGCCAATATTTTGGAGTTCGTTATAAAAGTGTACTTTTAACTAGATCGAGACTAAGAAATGAGTTCCTTATAAGCGATAATTCCTTATAACCGTGTTCGCTATAACCATATTTTTTTATTAAATAAAGAAGGGGAAAATTCGGGCCAAAATAAATTGTTCCCTATAACCGGAAGTTCGCTATAACCGTGTTCGCTATAAGTGAAGTTAACTGTAATAACTTTATGACGTCATGGTGGAGGGCGTTATAAATGGTTTATATGTGAACTCTATTTCTAGAAGACTAGATTTTTGTACCATTTCTTTGGTTCGATTCACTGCTAGAATGTACTATTGGCACCTTTTCATTTATTAATACCTGAGTAGTAGCGTAGGAGACTTTGTTACTGAATTACTTACACGAATGCGTCTAATAATTTTCAATCAATATATCAATATAAAAAATATAACAGTTAGAATATTTTACTATTTTAAATTGAGTTCCATACATAATTAAGATCTTCATTACTTGATTTTATAACTGGAAACAAATATTTAGCATGTGCATCAATACATCAAATGCGCGTTGCTAGGGGTGCTCTTATCGTAAGATTTATTGTCAGTGAATTTTTTATCTTATGATTTAATTTTTACTTCTTTCGTGGCTTTTTGAAAATGACTTAATATTTGACGTACGATCATCGTAAGTCTTAAACTTAAGATAAATCGTAAGATATTTTGTGAAAATGTCTGCAGGTTGGTAGAAATTACAGAAGGTGATATGTGATAACTCAGTAAACAATTCAGTGATCCGTTTATCCCTGCCATCCTTACAATAAATGTTATCCAGTACAATTTATTTGTTGATCCTATAATAAACGAATTCATTATCGTCTAAATATGATGGTATTACTTGAATAGACTCGACACAATGAAAACAAGCCTATAAATATCATTTTACAAAGGTTGCCACATTTTGTAAAGCCAAAACATTCTATCCAATGTAGGTATGATCCTTTTGTTTTGATGTTGCGGCAAATACAAGTACTTCAGAAATGTGGCTTAACCACAAGTGTTGGTCCAGATACCATCATGTTAAAGGGATGGTAGAAGATCATGCTTGTCTGCGGCGGCGGCGAAAGTGTAGTATTCTGCGGTGGTGTTGGTTCTTAGTATATACTACTCTGCAGTGGCGGTGCATGTGGTGTATTCTGCGGCGGTAATAGTGCTACATTTATACTAATTTGCGGCAATGGTGGAGGCAGTGGCGCTGTATACGCTTGACTTCCCTGCGGTTACGCATGCGTGATTTTCCCCATGCTTGCGATTTCGATATTTAAACATGATTTTCACCGCGAAAAGTCTTGATTGCACTCTGGGCATGCATTCATGTTGCTCCTTTAATAGCCTTATACAACATGACAAGTATAAACATAACACAAGGTTAATATAATCCATATGTCGTTTTCTTATAGATTCTATATATAATATATACACAACTTATTTTAAATTGTGGTCCATATTGTTCGCAGTTAACATTATTTAACTTAAATTCATTTGTTTACGTTATTTATTTTAACTTACACTCAATATCTCAAACTACTACGAGGTTTAATTTTAATTTAACAATCTGACTAATACCATCTGACCGTAAAATGAGCACATGACACTTTAATTTATGCAAACATTCGCGTTTAAACAAGGGCATGTAAAGCCGAACGGATTAATATTTATATAGGACCTTCCAATTAAAAAAGGCTAAAATTGTATGTATGTAAATTATGCTGCTACCACTTTTGTTAACCACTCGAGTTTTTTGTTATAGAGACATAAATTCTTTCCGCTACTTTACTAAATTGTAGTTGTTTTTATCATTGTTCATATGGTATTATAATTATAGTATTATTAACTTTGAGTTTTCTTAAGGGATTCTTATTTTCTCTATTTTATCGCCACATCAGGGTTTTTTTTTGTGCCGCGTTGAGGCTGTAAAATGTCTCCCCGTATATTCAATCAGAGATGTTATATTTCCGATCCTTAAAGATCATTCAGCACGACATTATTGTCAGCTTGTGGTAATTAAGTTCTTTCTATTCAGCTATTTCTTGTTGGGTGGTTCCAGTTTTCCTCACTTGAATACTGTTGAATCATCCTTAGGATATGTGGCCTGATTTTTAAATTTGTCTTTTCGTCTTATCTGTGAAATACAGGCTTCATAACCTCTGATCCTCTTTCAAAATTCCATTTTGTTTA